GATGATTTTACTCCTCTTAGAATTGAAAACTGGGTGTTGCACTTCTGTAAATGATATATCAGTTGGATGTGTTTATAGCATTCCAGCACAGACATGAGAGCACTGACACATTGGCAAGGTGTGGCTCTGACAAATTTAAAGGACTAGTGCACACAATTGAAAATTTGGAATGATTTACTCACCCCCATTTTGTTCAAAGTTTTTATAATTTGTATTCTGCTGTGGAAATATGAGAGAATATCGGGGGAGAAAACATGTAACAGTAAAAATGTAACAGAAGCACTATAGCAAGGATGCTAAAGTACCTCTTAACGCCTCATTCATACTAGCAGCAACTTATATATATGCTTTAGCAGATGCTTTATCCAAGGCGAGTTAGACCCATGAACACACGCACAGCAGTAGGCTTGTCCAGGGAGCAGTTGGGGGATCGGTGCCTTGCTCAAGGGAATCACTACAGCCGTGGTATTAAGGTGGATATTAGTTCACTCTTCCCACCAAATACTCAAACCTGCGAACTTTAGATCCCAAGTTCAACTCTCTAACTATTAAGTAAAGGGCTGCCTTTTGTGGCGTTTGGTGGAGATTTGAAGTTGCTAGTGGGCAATCCTACTTTGAGGTTTCTTATGGCCCGTTTCCACTGAGTGGTACTGGTTGGTACGGGTCATTTAGTCCTTATTAGGATTCAAAAACAACATGCAGCATATAGCCCAGTCAGTGCAAACCTCTCCTTTGTATCTTTAATCCTCACCTGCACATGTAACCTCCTGTTAGAAAGTAATTCTGTCATTTCGAGTTCATAATAGTCCAAAAGCTGATGATAATAGTTAAACATGGCAGTTTGTTCAGGTTTTAGGTTGCTGAAAGAATCATTTGCTTCTTTGTTTTTTCGGGCTTCTCCTTAGTTTTTTTCTCCTTAGTTTTTTTTGCATGTCACTCTCACGTTAGTCTGTTTCTTAAAGGATTGGACGTCAGAAGCACTTCAATAATCTTGCACCCGTTATTATCATCAGCTCAAGAAGTTTGTTATTTCAAATATAGATGCTCGGCAAGTGCAAGCGAGAAAGCGAAGTCGCCCGCGCTTTAGACGGACTTGTAAAAAACTACAGGACACAGAGTAGATTCTGCTCTTCTTTTTGGCTTTTTGGCTGTTCTTCAAGACAACGCCAAAGTTTGTTTGAGCTCGGGCTGACCAGGTCTCGTTATTATATGTATATATTATTACAGTGTATAGTCTCGGCTGTGTTTAAAAAATGGCGGTTTCTTTGTTTTCATTCTCCTGCTTGACCACGAGCTAGGGAAGCATCTCTGTAAACCAATAGCGTTCAGTTGCACCTCTTGCTCTGCCTTTTGGTACCCTTTTGTTGTGCTAGGTACCCTTTGTACCCTGTGGTACAGTATGGTTTGATTGGCTGTCGCTTACGAAAGTCACTCTTAATTTGCATATAGCTGAAGGATTGTCAACTTTGATCTAGTTACCACTAGTGGCTGTCGCTAACGTAGCCGAAGTCACCAGAAGTTTATTGCTCTCCATTGAAACAAACAGTCGTAATGATTGTGCTCACTGGGACATATTATCTTTTAAGGGTCAGGACACACCAAGCAGACAGTCAACCATTGGGCTTCTTTCTAACATCCCCTCTCGTCAGGTTAATGTTGTAGCTTGTTGGGCTGATTCAGCATGTAGAATTGGTGTTGGCCGTCGGTTGAAGAGAGAGTTCTGATTGGTTATTTAGAAACAAATCAGAGCTCGAGTGCGACGTAGAAGTCACGTAGCAAGTAAACTATTCAAGGGAAGAAAGGTCACAACGAGGTCGGCTATAATTTTGCTACATTTCTCAAATATTAAGGTATGGTACGATATGCAATATTATATTATCAGAAATATTTGCACGAAGAAATCTCCCTGTGGTTAGTGGCAATTTGTGTGGTAATGGTGCTAAATGCTGCTTTGTTTACTTGTTTGTTTGTTTGTTTGTTTGTTTGTTTGTTTGTTTGTCTATGTGTGTCGGAAGTTCGGTTTCCATTTGCGTAATGAGAAAACAGAATACTTTCCTCTTGCAAAGCAGAAAAAGCATCCTTTTGTGCAGGTGCAGAACATGGCTCTCGTTTCAGTCAGTTTTTGTCAGTTTGGTGTGTTCACACACAGCTTTTTGGTCCAGATGCGATTCAATCCAAGGTGACAACATGACTGGTTTTTGTTTTTCCGCTAGTTGTTTGGAGTCTCCTTGGTGTTTCCTGGCCCTAACACCTCTGGACCAAACAAAGGCTGCTACTATGAGTGTGGCACTTTTGTTAAAGTGCCTTGAAGCTGCTCTTGTGAATGGTTATGGCTTTTTTTCTACTTGTTGATGATATACAATATCTCTTTGATTTGCTTTATACTAAACAGATTTTGTTTCTCAGAATTAGATGGTTTTGTGTTTAGGGCGCCAAACCAGTTTTACATGCAGAACAATATAAACTATATCAAAGATGGAGCCGACAGCACAATAAACCTTTTACATGAGTTTTTCTCTTATGCGTTAGAGTTATCCTGTTTAACTATTTTATTATTATACGAACAAATTGCAGTGAACATCATGCAGTTTTACTGTGATTTATAGAAGACTAACTAAAATGTAATTATGTTACAGATATTATGCTGTTTTAAGTAGGCATGACCATTATTAAATGCGATTATTCGCATCCAAAATAAAAGTTTGTTTTGGCATAATTTAAGTGTGTGTGCAGTGTATATTTGTTATGTATAAACATTTTTTAAAAATGTTGCTTGATATATGCTGGATAAGTTGGTGGTTCATTCCACTGTGGCGACCCCTGTTATATAAAGGAACTAAGCCAAAAAAAAAAATAGTTATACAAATAATACCTAACTTAAAATATCTTGGAACAAACTTGTATAGTTTTGTTTCTATGAGTGTGTATCACATATACATAATAAATATGTATAATACTTTAAGGGGAACCAGCACCCTATCAGTACACACACACACACACACACATACATATATATATATATATATATATATATATATATATATATATATATATATATATATATATATATATATATATATATATATATATATATACAATGACAAAACGAGCATTTATTTTGGATGTAATTAAATGTGATTAATCTAAATGCAAAGTATTAAAGATCAGTGTTTTAATCATATAATAAAACTAATATCATTTATTCTTTTACATATTATAAAAAGCAGAGGCCCTAAGTATTTTTGTGTCATTTTTACAGAAATATAGCTGTAATGCTGAATGACAATGCAACATTTTTATTCATTCGTTTTCCATCAGCTTAGTCCCTTATTTATCTGGGGTCACCACAGCGTGATGACCCATCTTCTATTCAGGCATATGTTTTACGCAGTGGTTGCCCTTCCAGCTGCAACCCAGTACTGGGAAAGACCTATAAACTCTCGCATCCACACTTTTAAATTTAGTTGATCCAATTCACCTATTTCACCTATTTTGGAGCACCTAGAGGAAACTCACGCGAACATGGGGAGAACGTGCAAACTCCACACAGAAATACCAGCTGGCCCAGCCGGGACTTGTACCAGTGACCTTCCTGCTATGAGGCGACAGTGCTAACTACTGAGCCACCACGCTGCTCCTGCAACATTTTTTGACTTCTCAATAAATCATTATCTCAGGTTACATCTCAACTTATTAAATTATTAAAATAAGTCTTCAATTTTTGTCATTACATTTTATTTTTTCCATTGTTTAAAAGCCACATTTGTAAGATGTATTTGATTCAAACCCACAATATAGACAGTTTTGGATTCAAATTGCTACCAGAAGCATAAAGCTAAGTGTCACTGTTTTGCTAGTTGTTGGCTACAGTGTAGCCTTAATCAGCCTCACTTCCTTCCTTATAAAACGCTGCCAGAATAACCAAAACAGACAGCCACTGCTGTATATCTGCTCATGTCAGTGAATTCCCCATCATTTTCTCTAAGAGGTCTTTTCCTGTCTTCAAGGCCGCGACTTGTAAACAAAAAGCGGATTTATACAGTAATGATGGCTGGTGTTAGCTTAACTGGTTTTCTCCTCACACTTGAACTCCATTACATTCTTCAACATCCTCGCTACATCTTTTTACTACCCCATTTTTAAGTTTATAAGCAATCCCGTAGTGCGTGTGGATTATTCACATGCTGGGTGACAAATTATAAATCTTATTTTACCAAACATCAGAGGGAATGCGTTGCTTTATCCAAGTTATTTATTCAGTCTGGATGCAAATCCTTTTAGCATGTGTATGATCTGTGATGTTGTGGAAATCCCCGCTTTGAAAGCACAGGAGAGGCTTTGTTACGGCTGACGGTGTGCTTGTTTACTCTGATAGGCCGTTCTGTTCGAGTCATTCTGACTTACTGGACTTTCACCTGCAAAATACACTGCTTTCTCAAGATATTGAAGGACTTCTGGATGTGTGCTGCTTAGGCTTATGTCGTTGATATTCTGGTGTATTTGATAGATCCATTGTTGGAAATGCTGTCATTAATAGGATTAATCTACTGCATTATATTGTGCAATCCATGAGAGATCATAAGCTGATTTGAATTTGATTAGACAAGTCAGACGTGTATTATATATTATGTTTGGGTGTAGTGTTTAATCATTGTTCTTTTTAGATTTTGTTTGTTCTTACCTAAATACAGTAATGTAGAATTTTTGGTGGTAAATTATTCTCAATTATTATGGGTAGTAAATGATTAAAAGTGCTATATTATAGTATATTACATTACCTTACAATTCATATATTAATTAAAAAATGTTTGTAGTTTTATTTATACATCCATTAAATGAATGAATGAATGTATTTATTGATTTTATTAGTTTGTGTTAAATGCAGACTATACTTGACTTAATCATGTATTTTAAATGCTTCACTAAGTGTGTATTTATAATAATATTTTACATAATATTCATATATATGTTTATTTTTCTCTCTTTCTCTGCTATGACAGGTACTCTGCCACCTGGTGAGCACAGCTTTCCGTTTCAGTTTCTCATTCCAGGTAATTGCTCCAGTTTTACAATTAGCATTTCAAAGCCTTTAAAGGGCATTTTCATCTAGAGGAGTGTATTGTTTTATTGCATATCTCAGATGGAGAGCGCTCGGGTGTACGGTTAAACTATGCTGAGTGTTTCTGAAGGGTGGTGAGAGGCTGGAAGATGAGTTTAATTTGAACCTAAACTGTATAAAGTCCTCTTGTTATGTTCTGCTCCTTCCTGCACAAACATGCCCATTCATGAACATTTAAAGGGATAGTTCACTCAGAAGTGAAAATTCTGTCATCATTTACTCACTTCCTTTCTTCTGATATTTTTAAGAAAGCTGGAAACCTGTAACCATTGACATCCATAGTTTTTGTTTTTCCTACAGTGGAAGTCAATAGTTACAGTTTTTTTCTGTTTTTGTGTTCAACAGAATGAAGAAACAACCACTTGAGGAAGAGTAAATAATGAGTACATTTTCATTTTTGGGTGAACTATCCCTTTAAAAATAATCCCTTAATGACAGAAAGATTCACAGTTAAAACTGTAGGTGAAAAAAACATAAACTAATAGTAATAAATTTACTTCAATATTTGATTTATTACATTAGGAAATAATAAGTAATTATTATAATAAATAACAAGTTAATAAATAATTAGATTTCTTTTAATTTAAGATTAAAATTAGTTTAAATATGCAAATGAGATATAATTTGCATACATATTGGATAAAACAGAGATAAAAAGTAGACAAAAATTTGATAGAATTAGATTTTTACAGAATTACAGCAAGAAATAGACTAATTTCTCAATTGTTAGGCATTTCACAAATGAAAAGTTAAGTTTTGTATTAATAAAACTGTCAAGTCTGGTATGTACAAGTTCCACCAAAGTTTTGTTGCTACCTGCATGAATAAAAAACACATTTTTAAAAAGATGTGATAGAAATATGGACTGTATTTAAAATCTACATACAGCGATAGTGTGTAGTAAAATAAGTGTGACTAATTAATTTTGGTCCTTTTATATCAATGAAATGCTACCTATGATGAAAATCAACTTTTGTAAGCTGTTTGGACAGAACTGTGTGTATATTGTGTCCACAGTCATATAAGAGTGATAGAAACCCAACAAGTCTCTTTTTTTTTTAATTTCTTGACATTAGGAGTGCAGTTTCTCCGTCCACCGAATTTCTTGATATGTGCCATGTTTTTATAATTACATGTATACACATATCCACAGAATATTTAGTTGCAATTAAACTAGGTTAAAATATTTATTCCAATTCTCTATGATCTTTGTAAGTCTTTTGTAAGATGTTTCTAAAACAGAGCCTACTTGTAATAAAGACAATAAAATCCCTATGTAATTCTTAACCGCTATAATCACCACGGCCGCATGGTGTCAGTAAATGCTAATGTGTGTGTGTGTGTGTGTGTGTGTGCTGCAAATGCATTTGTGTGAGATTCATCCTTTCAGAAAGGCTTGAATAAACTCCACCACAAATACATGAAATAAACTTACTTGGTATTTTTGACTAATGAGCTGTATTTCAGCTTCATCCATCTCTGTCTCTATCACTGACTGCTGTTTATCTGATATAATGCATGATGACAAGCAGACACGCACGAGGCAACGGTGGGTGGGGAGAAGCAGCTCATTTGCATTTAAAGCCACAGGTTACAAAAACAGCTAAAATATCTTCAGACACTAATATGGGCAAATTCTGGAGGCTATTATAAATAATCTAATGGGTATTTTGAGTTGAAACTCTACAGGCACATTCTGCAGACACCATCTTAGATCTTGTAAAAGTGGTAAAATAGGTGCTCTTTAAAGTGAATGATTGGAAAAAGACTAAAATCTTAAAATTGACAAGTACTTAAAAATAAATTGCTTTGACTGCAGTGTCTCTTTATGATAGTGCTCCGGTGGTCAATATAAAGCACAAAGAAATTGTTTAATAATTGTTGTCAAATAAAAAGACAAGTGTTTTATTAACAATAAAACTGTGAGGTAAGAAAACAGCTTTTAGAAATATATTCTCTAGTTGAAATCTACAAACACATTGATTAAATGTGACAAACAAAACTTTTAAGAGTGTATTTAGGATGTTTTATTTACATTGATTTGGAGGGAAAGCACTGAAGTCTAGACAGGTGCATTAAAAAAAGTGTCAACTGCGCCTCCTGCTGGCAGATTGTATGAACATCTGGAGAAGATTAAACTGGAAGGATCGGATCAAAACAGGGACTTTCCAATCCATTAATCTGGAACGTGTCACGCATCCATATTCAAACGATATAGATACAGAGATGAAGCTAGTATCCGAGTGTTGTTTTATTTGAATTTCTTAGTGGTTTATTACTTTTCCTGGCACCTCAAGCTTTTTTTTTTGCTTTTAGGATGACAGCACTTAAAGGGGTGTTGATCTGTTTTATTGATTGTGAGCTCTAACCTCATCTTGTCATCATTCAACATTCTGGTCCTGGAATAATATTGTTGTTTTCTGTGATTATAAGAAGAAGCTTTTGACAAGTACTAAATAACTCGATGTTTGTGTTTGTTGTAGCATCAGTTCCAACCTCGTTCGAAGGCCCGTTTGGGAAGATTTTGTACAAAATTCGAGCTTTTATTGACACGCCGCGGTTCTCAAAGGACTACAAGGCCCAGCGACCCTTCTACCTTCTCAATGTGCTCAACCTCAACGAGTTGCCAGATATAGAGGTGAATAACCATTTATTTAATCGCTAAAATATTAGAAATTATTTATTCACAGTGCTCAGCATATATAAGTACACCCCTCACAAATCTATCTTTTAAATTCATATTTTAATAGGAAGCTATGCAATATTAAAAGCCAATATATATACTCATGTACTATATATTATATATAATATAATATATATTATATACTATATATATATATAATATAATGTATAATATACTAAAGCCAAATCTGGAGCTTATCTAACAAAATAACTTACGATAACGGTCCAAAAACTAGTACACCTAAATTTATATTTTAGGGAAAAATGTTAAATACAAATTTTAAAAAGCGGAAAAATCAAGAAAAGAAAGAAAAGCAGAAAAATTGAACAATTTTGTTGAAATGATTTTTTTTTTTTTTTTGCAATATTTTGCTTGAATTTAATTGTGTTATTGTTCATTTGTGAATTAGTTTGGTGACTAAAATATTATTTTAATAAATATATCTGTTTAATGAATCTGTTTTGTTCAAATGCACCAATATTTACTGAGAAATAGATTATAAAAAATATGAAGAGTTCAAATACAAAAACCTCTAAGTACCATCTGAGATTTTCTTCTAATATTAGCATTTTTTCCAGGCTTATATGTGCATGTTCAGTAGTTTTACTTGTATGTAAAAGAATAAAGTATTTTCATGGCCTTTAATGTGAAATAACAGAACATAAAGACAAGAGGTTGGGAAAAATGCTAATTTTAGAAGAAAACTTCAGATGGCACTCTTCAGAAAAAACTCTTCATATTTATTTTCAAAATGGGATGTACTCAATTTTGCTGAGCACTGTGTATTCAAAATGTTTTTGAATATCTCTTCTGCTCCCCTAGGTAACACTTATTTGCCTAAATAATACAATAAAACAGTGATATAGTGATTTTATCCAGTTTATAACTATGTATAATATTAATAGTAATTCATAACCGTGAATAAAAGGTGAATTTTTTTTAACATCCTTACTCCAGCCTACAGTGTCACAAGATCATAAATAAAAGGGAAAAAAAGCTTTGTAGTTCACTAATAAAAAATGCTGGCTTCCACACAATTCCTCCATGCTGAGACCCCAAGACAAATTGATTGAGGTAACTTAATTGTTTTTACAAATTTAAGTGGACTGAACATAAAACAATTACGTTTTCCTCGCCACCCCCGGGTGGCATTTCTGTTTGGAGTTTGCATGTTCTCCCTGTGTTCGCGTGAGGTTTCCTCTGGGTGCTCCTGTTTCCCCCACAGTCCAAAGACATGCGCTTTAGGTGAATTGGGTAAAACAAAATTGGCCATATTTTATGAGTGTGTGTGAATGAGAGTGTTTCCCAGATTTGGGTTGCCGGAAGTTGTCAGTTCATTCCACTGTGGCGACTCCTGATAAATAAGGGACTAAACCTAAGGAAAATTAATAAAGGAATGGAATACTAATAATAAAGGAATACAAATCTATCTAAAAAATGTCATCTAAAATATGTGTCCTACTTTTCCCAGCAACCCAGCTGTGCAGTGACAACGAAAAAGTTTAACTACCTCCTGGTAAAAACAGGCACGCTTATGCTGAAGGCTTACACTGATCTAAGAGGATACACTCCTGGACAGGTCATCAAACTCTCCGCTGAAATACATAACAAGTCTGGTAAAGACACCGGCTATGTGATGGCCAGCTTGATTCAGGTCAGTAAAGTAGGACAATATGATCACATTTAGTTTCATAATGAGTGCAGCCCATTTTGAAAATAAATATTTGTATTCATTTCTCTGTAAATATGGGTCATATAAATTGTTGGATTTGAACAAAACTGATTTATCAGACAGAGATATTTATTAAAATAATATTTTAGTCGCAGAACATCTTTAGAAATAGAAAGATGATACATTTAAATTCAAGCAAAATAAATTGCAAACCACCTAATTTCAACTAATTTTGATATATTTTTTGTTTCTCTTGATATTTTTTCCCCTCACTTTACATTTAAATTAGGGTGTACTCATTTTGGTTCGTTATCGTAAGCTATTTTGTTAGGTTAGCTCTAGATTTGGCTTCAGCGTAAATATAACATTGTATAGCATCTTTTATAAATTAGTAATTGAATATATAGATTTGTGAGGGGTCTACTCGTATAGTAGTTTGCATGAATTCCTCTTCACTGTCTAAGCGATACAGTAGGGTACATGCAGAAATTGTCAGATGATATCACTCATTATATCTGTGTATGTTTGCGCAGAGAGTTTCGTATAAGACTAAGCGTCCAGTTTTTGATCTGCGGCCCATAGCAGAGGTGGAGGGAGCAGGAGTGAAGGCAGGCAAACATGCGGAGTGGAGAGAGCAGATCATCGTCCCTCCTCTTCCTCAGTCAGGACTCACCGGCTGCAATCTCATAGATATTGAGTACTTTATCCAGGTACGAGAATCTAAATCTTAACTTTAGCATTGAGTTAAAACCTTCTGTTGTCATTTAATCACCTTCATGTAAGTTCAAACTCTTTTATGGAATAGTTTGACTGATGATTGAGTCTTTAATTGAGTTAAATAATAGATTAATTTGAAATTAAGAGTAAATTAGTCTCATTTAAAGAATCATTTAGAGCTGTTTTGTGAAAAGGATTGATCCATTCATTTAAAAGTACCAACCTCAGCAAGTTAAAATGTTCTGAGGGGTTTTCAGAACTGGATCAGTTGATTTACTGAAGAGGCTCGATAAATCACGGAATTGAATTCAAGAGCCAACTCTGTCTAATTAATCAAACAATTATTCAAACATGATCAGCCAGTTCATGGAAAAGATCTGAATTAGTGAGTTAAGAAACAAATCAGATGATTTATGAACTGAATCAGCTGATTAACCAAGTAGAATTTAAAATCTAAATCAGTCTAATTCTTTAAACAATCTTCCAGACAGGAAAGAGCAATTCAATTAAAAGATCTGATTCAGTGAATTGAATTTAAGAATTAAATTAAATTATTTAAATTAAATCAAAATTATTTACTAAATCAGCTGAAAAACTGAGTTGAATTTAAAAGCTAAATCAGTCTAATTCATTAAATAATCATCCAAACAGGATAGAGCTATTCATTGAAAAGATCTGATTCAAAAAATGTAAGAACTAAATCAAATGATTTATAAACTGGATCAACTGATTCATTCCTAAGATCTGATAAGAAAAATTGAATGGATTTCTAAAGATATTTAATCAGTCTGACTTAACCGAATTACTCGAATAGTTGAATAGATCTTATTCAGTCACTCAATTTGAAAAATGAATCAGATTTGCTCATGAAAGAATTATTTAGAGCAGATTATTCATGAACAGGATCTGTAAGTAAAGACTGAACTAAGTACAGTGCATCCGGACAGTGTTCATAGTGCTCCACTTTTTCTGTTACAGCCTTATTCCAAAATGGATTAAATATGTTTATTTCCTCAAAATTCTACACACAATACCCCATAATGACAATGTGAAAAATAAAAAACCTGGACAGTCACATGTACATAAGTATTCACAGCCTTTGCGGTGAAGCTCTAAATTGAGCTCAGGTATGTTCTGTTTCCACTGATCATTCTTGAGATGGTTCAGCAGCTTAATTGGAGTTCACCTGTGGTATAATTAGTTGATTGAACATGATCATGAACATGATGGAACCACCAGGACTCTTTTTGGAGCTGGCCAGCCATCTATTCAATTTAATTCAATTCAGCTTTATTTGTATAGCGCTTTTACAATGTAGATTGTGTCAAAGCAGCTTCACATAAATGCTCATAGTAACTGGATCAGGGTAGTTTTTAGTGTTTAAGTTCAGTTCAGATCTAAGCTATGTGATTTGGCAGAGTGATGCTCTTACATTTGAGCGCTGTGGAGCACGTTGTTAAACATCGTTCATTTGCCATTGTGTTCGTGTGCTCAACAGAAATGACTGTGATTGGCTGTGAATGTGATCGGTTCACTGAACTCTTCGCTGTTTATGGAGTGTAACTACAGATATAGGGACACTGGAGCATTTCAAACTCGCATCAATCAGCTGCTTTGTCTATAAGCTGACATACGAGTGATCCGCTGATTATTTGTGGCTTTAAAAAAATCCAGCGTTCCTGTATCTGTGGTTACACTACGCATATATATTCAAGTCCTGATCTGGTAATGTCCAATTCCAATAAAGTCTGAAATCTCATGATCAGGCCCGATTTCCGATCACGCGATCGGATCTGGACATCTCTAATTAAGATGTCTGTAAAATTATTAATGTCATACAGGGCTTTTCATGAAGTCTTTTCTTCTGGCAGGTTTCACTAAAATCTCCTGAGGCTGCGGTCACGTTACCCATCTACATTGGGAACATTGCTGTAAACTTGACTCCTTCAATTCCTCACCCTATGGCTCATGGTGTCCCGATGCCCACCGGGCCGAGTCTCAATCCAGCAGCTGTAGTCCCGAGTGCACCTCCTGTAGAGGACGAGCTGGCAGGACAGCTGGCGGCTGGAGGAGGCGACAGTGAGGAGATCCCCACCAAGAGCCATTCTCAGCAGGACCCGTCCGGCGCTCCTCTCTCTGTGGCTCCTTACGGTCATGCGTCGGGTCCAGTACTGCCACAGAGCCAGCAACATGTCCAGTCTACAGACGGCTCCGCACTGCTCTTCTGTTTGTCCACAGGAGCCACTATACCTTTCTTCACTGATGGGAACGCAACGCCGGTGCCCACGTCCTGTCCACTCATCCTGCCCCCCGAATATAGCACCTGGGAATACCCACATGGTGAGTGATCTAGATGGAAAGTAGTGCCCTGTATGTTTAGCAGGGTTTTTGTGTTTAAAAACGAACACCATAATATACAGTTGAAGTCAGAATTATTAGCCCCCTTTGAATTTTTTTTTCTTTTTTAATTAATTTCCCAAATGATGGAAATTTTCACAATATGTCTGATAATAATTTTTCTTCTAGATAAAGTCTTAGTTGTTTTATTTTGGCTAGAATAAAAAAAAACATTTTTAAAGTCAAAATTATTAGTCCATTTGAGCTATATATTTTTTCAATGGTCTATAGAACAAACCATCGATATACAAAAACTTGCCTAATTACCCTAACCTGCCTAGTTAACCTAATTAATCTAGCCTTTAAATGTCGCTTTAAGCTGTATAGAAGTGTCTTGAAAAACATCTAGTAAAATCTTATTTGCTGTCATCATGGCAAAGATAAAATAAATCAGTTATTAGAAATGTTGACAAAGTCCGTTAAACAGAAATTTGGGAACAAAATTAACAGGCACGGCTAATAATTCAGGGGGGTTTATAATTCTGACTTCAACTGTATGCATAATCATTATAGCTAAACACATTTTAAACAGTGAAGAAAACATTTCTTTTTTTGATAATTCAAATGTTTTATTTTCCTCAATTTATCAGTGCCATCAGTTTACACATTTTTACTTCCTTTTAACACCCTCTTTCCCCTCCCCAACAGCGGCAGTTACAGTAATTAGATGTTGCTATCATAAGTCCAGTAAATACAGATAAATAATATAAGATAATTACACTTTTACTATGCATCTCACCCCTGGGACCTTATTCATCCTCCAAAAATAATTTCCCCATCTTCTCTTATAAACATCTAATTTATCAAGTATTCTATGTAATTTTTTCATATGCTGCCACCTTCCCCAATTCTGTAACCCATGCTTGAAATGGTGGTGGTGGACCTGCTAAACGCCATCCCCTCATAATGATTTGTCGTCCAATCATAATACTTATTTGAATCTACTTAGACATCTTCACACCCGACAGTGCAGATTGCATAAGTTTTATAAATATAAATATTTTTAAACTTTATATATATATATATATATATATATATATATATATATATATATATATATATATAATATTTATTATTTATATTATTTATAATTTTTTTATTTTATTTTTTATTTTTTTTTACTATTTTACCAAGAAATTATCAGCATTTGGTATCTTTGCTTGAACTGACCAGATCTAATCCTGTTCATTTGAAATAAACCTGCTCTTGCGCAGGTTTGATCTATTAAAACTGTTACTATGACAACAAGTCTCAGATGAGTTTTGAAGAGCGAAACGATCCTGGATCATGTGAAAACGTTGACATCCAGCTAATTGAGTAATCCAGCTAATTCAGAAATCCATGTATGAAGAACGGACCCCTGGTGGTTACATACGCATAATCAATTCAGACCACACAAGCAACAATCTTTGCATCAGCTATGTGCTAGTTCATGATAACTACATGCTGCCATATTATCAATTTGCTAACTTGCCTAGAAACATGCTAAGGCGCAAAAGAAAGCTTTTTTCATTCTGTCATGTTCAGAATTCGATCATTTATGTTGAAACATGCTTTGTTGAAACGCGTCATATGCTAGCAATTTGCTAGTTTACCTAGAAACATATTGGCAATAGCTCATGCTAGAAACTTCCTAAAACATGTTAGCAACATGCCAATTCATGTTAGAAACATGTTTACAACTCAGCCAAGTTAGCAGTTTGTTCATTTACATAGAACCATGCTAGCAATATTTGAAGCCATGTTTTGGGGTTCAGTTGGTTTTATATGGTCTAAATTTGCTCTTTCACAATTTTAGAAACTATAAGATTTATTTATTTAGTTTGTTTGTTGTTGTTTTGTACAGTGACTTTAAATAATGGACATGAGTACAACATCCAAACGTATTTTGTGCTCCAATTTAATCAGATTTTCTTCATTTACTCTAATTTTCAGAGCCTCCTCCTACTTACGAGGAAAGCTGCAGTAGCAACAACTCGAGCTTCAACAGTAGCATGAGGTAGACGTCGACAATTCAGACGTCCTGCTTCTTCATTATGCCATTCATATGCTGCCCCCTGCTGGATGGTACAGGCATTGCTGCCACCCTCTCCATCAACCAAATATCCTTAAAACTTTAGGATAATTTCCTTACAATTTGTAGTTAATCCCCTCATATCATAATTTCAGCAGAAAACAAGCGGGGAGAAGGTTTCAGTGCCTAAGAAGACGTAGCACTCAACAAAACCCCACTCAGAGATTTTGCGAAATAAATACCAGCATCTGAAGCATTTTGAAGTGAAAGTTACACTTTTTCATTCAACCAAGCCTGGCCTTATGTGAAGTTCATCAGAGAATGTGCTTAGTAAAATAATTCTGCCTGACCGGGGGAATAAATCAAACGGATATGATTCTGGCATGATTTACGCAAGCAGCGGTGGCTCTGAACCAAAACACTGGGCCGCAGAAAACGTTACTCTGCAAAGAACAAGTTTATTTATTAAAGGTGATTGATGGGACTTTTTAACTCATCACCAAACAGACACTGTGTGGATACAGCTTGGAAATACCAATGTAGTCGCCATCATGGGCACATAAGTCGTTATCGCTTGGCCGAATGGTAGCCGAGGTCCCTTGAAGAATGCTTAAGGGAACAATATATTCCATCGTTTCTGAATGAAAACTACTTTTCCTGCCTGTCGAGGGATTTTCAAAGCAAACATCAGACTGCTGACTCATTTCTGTTATCATATTTTACACCAAACAAAAACAATATACTCATCTTTTTTCTTTTTTAGATCTCACAGTTCCACCCTGGAGTTATTATACAGCCAATAGTCCTGTTTTTCAGAGTTTGCATCATGTCAATGCTGGTAAAATGGAAAGATATCAGTAATGTGCATCATCTGAAATCTAATTTTATTTGAAATCAATAATGAATTGACTTCTTGTTGATCATTTGGAAAAGTGACAGAAGGTAGATTTTACAGATGAATCACCTATTAAACTGCAGCTCAATCATCACAAATACTGCAGAGGACCTACTGGAACGCGCATGGACCCAAGATTTTCACAGAAATCAGTCAAGTTTGGTGAAGGAAGAATCATAGTTAAAAACAAAGAAGGTCAAGGTGCTCCAGGATTGGCCAACCCAGTCACTAGACATGAACATTATTGAGCATGTCTGGGGTAAAATGAAGGAGGAGGCATTGAAGATGAATCCAAAGAATCCAAACTTTTTTTCTCAGCAAAGTCAGACCTTACTGTCCTAATTAAATAATTAAAAATCAAGGCATGATCATATTTAAATTAAATAAGCATAATCTAGAGGCCTTTCATATAAGCCACTTCTGATACTAAATGATCAACTAGAAGTCAAGTCATTATTTGTTGTTCCTAAAACTTGGATAGGCGACAAGACTTTTGTCAGGTAATGTACATGTCTTTTGTATGTGACTTTTGGTCGTATTCATCAATATTTCTCACATTATCCCACTACAAATGGAGATTTATGATGGATTTCCGGTGAGGCCTTAGGCTGTGGTGTACAGTCCTTTAATATGGCAAACACATTTGTTTTTTTCATGTTGATCAGTTCAGACCCTTGAACTGTTGGAGAATTTGAAAAATTGAAGCACAAAAAGGCACTTTTATGTGTTTGTATATGTTTATGTGTGTGTGTGTGTGAATGTTTTCTCCACTTCCTCTTCAAAATATGAATAATCATTTTTCTATTTTAGATCAGTATTGTTATTGTTTTATTTAGTTCTTGATTTAGCATGGAAAGAAAGTCTGATTCGGAACACAACAGACACATAAATCATGTTCTGTGTTATTTTAAATGACCAAAATAAAATAAAGTTTTCGGTACTCATTTCTGGATTTTGTTTGAGATTCATGCGCTATGTTTCATTTGCAGTGATGACAGAAAGTAATAATCAGGTCATTCTGCTAAAAAAGGTGCCATTTGTGTACTTCAAATGAACCAATAGATTAATAGAAGAAAAATAATAATACTTGAACATTGATTTTTAAATGATCTGTTTTCTGGCCTACTTAAAATTTGACATTTTGATTGGACATAGATTTTTTTAAGTTTTAGGTAATGTTTTATTTTTATTTAATTATATTCTAACTATTTTAAAGATTCAAAACACTTTAATTAGTTAGTATAATTGTGAATTTTGTTGAGAAAATCTGAACATTGATTGTTTGTTGAATATTCACTGTGAAAATACTATTTGAAAACATTAAAACAGATTAGTGCAGTTCATTACTTAAAAACTGTATTATAGTAGGTTTTTGAAAAATGGTGTACTTAAAAAAAAAATCACTTTTTTAGACTACAAAAGGCACATATTTCAGAGAATGGCCCATTCAAATTCATATCAAGGGGCTTTGTGCTGATTGCATCCCCGCAGGCCACTGTGACTTTTAACAGCAGCTAAACGTAAATTCAGATTCTGTTTCTTCACTGTAAGTGCTGAAATCTAAGTGAATGCATACATTGTAAAAAAAAATCTGAAAAAGAGCGTTAAAATTGCATGTCAGTGATTTGAAGTTCTGTAATTGTTCAACCACATTTTGCCTTAAATGTAAATCTGAAGCATCGCTGGTCCCATCATACAGTAATTTTAAAAAAGAATGTTGCATCAGATGTATTGCTCATTTGTCTCTCGAGCCTCTTTAGCTTTCTGTTGGCATCAGAAATCAGAAAGTGTCGTAGGAGAAAGTATAGATGATAATTTGTAGCAGTGCAAGTTAAAGAAAAAATTCATACGTCCTCCATTTTTGTAAATGCTGAAGTTGCGGTATGGATGAACACTTCTTCATGGCTTATGTACATGTATTATGTTCTGTTTTTTTTTTTTTTTTTTTTTTACTTTTAACCAAAGTTTCAGCAGCTTTATCAAGTTTCATTTCATTACGTGGTACTTTTCTTTCCCTGGATTTTCCAGCAGGATTCGAAATAAAGTAGCACGATTGTGGATCGATGTTTTATGTGAAGTTGTTAAACAGAATCAAACTTGTACAGCAAAAGTAATAAAATCACTTTAATTCTCATTTTTACCCTGCAATGTTGTTCATTTAATGGTTCATTTTTTACTTGGGTTTATTTCTACACTTACCGGCCACTTTATTAGGTACATTCCAATTGCTTGTTAATGCAAATTTTTAATCAGCCAATCACATGGCAGCAACTCAGTGCATTTAGGCAAGCAGACATGGTCAAGACGATCTGCTGCTGTTCAAACTGAGTATCAGAATGGGGAAGAAAGGTGATTTCAGTGACTTTGAACATGAACAGTTGTTGGAGCCAGATGGGCTGGAATGAGTATTTCAGAAACTGATGATCTACTGGGATTTTCAAGCTCAACCATCTCGACAACAACATGAAAGCATGGATCCATCCTGCCTTATATCAACGGCTCAGGCTGGTGGGGGTGGTGTAATGGTGTGGGATATATTTTCTTGGCACACTTTGGGCCCATTATTAACAACTGAGTATCATGTCAATGCCACAGCCTTCCTGAGTATTGTTGCTGACCATGTCCATCCCTTTATCCCATCTTCTGATGGCTACTTCCAGCAGGATAATGCACCTATCAGGGATCATCCTCCAACTTTCATCAGGATTTATCAGGTAAAAGTATCATCCTAGAAGCTTTTCAAGAACGTTATTGTAAGATCGATTTTTTTTAATCAATATTATTAGAACATTTGAGTAAGCAATACACTAAAGACATTCAAAAAATGTTGCTCTAAGATTGTTTTTCTATTAATGTAACAAAGAATGTTCCAAAGAAAATTCTATTAATGTTACACAACTTTTAAGAAATGTTACTAAATATTCTGGGAGCGTTTCATGTTAGCTGGGTAAGTATGTAAAATAAAATAAAAATGTTTTATTTGTATCAGTACAACTTTTTTTTTTTTTTTTTACCCATGTCCCACTTAAGAATCAATGATTTGGTGACATGAAGAGAAAATCACACAGAACACATTGTAATGCTGCTAATATATTTTAACGCTGGTTGAGAGCAAGTATTAGCACATTTTAACTGCTTGTTGCTAACATATTTTAGCATTAATTGCTAAATCTGTTTTATATGTTTTTATGAACTAATATGTTTTAACAGCATGCTTCTTAGCACACTTTACCATGTTGCTAGCATGTAGTAATTAGCTCATCAACTGTATCTATTTCAGCATATTGAAATATGTTGAAGACAGAATTATTAGCCCCCCTGGACCAGCATTGAAACCAGCATATCAGCGTCAAGACATACCTTTTTTTCAGCCGGGATGTTTTAATGAACTTGTTTTAACAGCATGATTCTTAGCACATTGCATTTTTTTAAGCACTGTGTTAGGCTAATAGAGAAATAGATACCCTGCTGAAAAATCCAGCTTAAACCAGCCTAGGCTGGTTGGCTGGTTTTAGCTGGTCGACCATGGATGGATGGATGGATGGATGGATGGATAGATAGATAGATAGATAGATAGATAGATAGATAGATAGATAGATAGATAGATAGATAGATAGATAGATAGATAGATAGATAGATAGATAGATAGATAGATAGATAGATGGCACATTAACATGAATTATTGTTATTAGCATGTAGCTAGTATGATTAGCATGTTTTATTGTGAATTCACATGTTGTTAACAGAAATGTGGTATTAATTAGCATATTGCTAACATGTTTCCAGTAAGAATTGTCATGCTGCTAGCATGTTTCTAGTATGAATTAGCATGATTCTTGAGAGTGAAGCCAAAACTAAAAACACATAAGGTTAACTGTCTGTTGTGTAGCACTTAATGTACTTCTTCATTTTGACATAAGGTAAATATAAGGAATAAAACTCAGAACAGCGTTGATGTCCTGGTGCTCGATGTAATTCTCATGGAGCATTTTTCAGAATGGCATGAGAAGGAAATAAGGGGTAAAAGATCAAGGAGACCAGCTTCACCCCAGAACTGCCTGCTGCCTCTTTCCTGTTGCCATAGAAACTGATCCCAATCCATCATTATCACTGTGTTACACGAGGACATGGACATTGGGTGTGTAGTCTGGATGGATGGCACACACTCTGAAAGAGAAGAAATGGGTATGGAGAATGTTTATGGGTGGCCTGAAATAAATTTCTTCTGCATATGCCGATTTTGTGGTCTTGGCTGCGCTCATGGCTGGTTTCAGAGTGGTTTTATAGACATGATTCTAATATTATTTATTTATGTACAATTATCAAGGGTGAGCAGTGTACAAATTAAAAAATAAGCATTGAACCATTTGTTAATAAATCTGCCCTGAAAGATTGGTTTATGAGACTGAGGTTATGTTCACATATAAAATTTGGCTCTCTTGATTAATTTGGTCCATACTATTTAGTCCTGGTTTGCTTAGAATTCATGCTTTAAAGCACAAGTCTCAAACTCAATTCCTGGAGGGCCGCAGCTCTGCACAGTTTTGCTCCAACTGATCCAACACAGCTGATCCAACAAATCGTGGTGTTGAAAAGATTCATGAGTTGGATCAGCTGTGTTTGTTCAGGGTTGGAGCAAAACTGTGCAGAGCTGTGGCCCTCCAGGAATCGAGTCAGACTTATGCTTTAAAGACTAAAGCTGTGGTCCTACTAGAGTTTGCGTGTGCGGAATTCTGTTGTACAGCACTGTGATAAGGGAAGGAGTCCATGTTTTAAATTTCTGTCAAGAGAGGTCATGTTTTGATCTTCGATTGGTCTCACACAGGCACGTGATACGATTTCACATGTCAGAGTTCACCAAGCTTGAACTGCAACGCAACGAACTGCGAAACTTGTCACACGAACTTGCGTTTTCGGTCTGACTGATTATAAATGGAAGTCTATGGGGAGAAAAGTCCAGTGTGACTGCAGCTTAAACCTATAGAAAATTAAAGCAGCTTTTACGACATAATTTACTGAACTTCTGAATCAATATTGTGTAGTGGGTTGTGTTCATGTACAGTTCATGTTAATTCTTATCAAATGAAATATGTCACGTGCAGATGACCATGTGTTTAAAGCAAATCTGCTTATTTTAACCAAATTTGTCAAGCGTGAACACACCCTGAATGAGTCTGAACAGTG